GGTATGATATTGTCGGGGACAGGAAGCCTGCTAGGGCTACCCATGGGATTTCCTCAGTCCCATTATCCCAAGGCGAGGCTATCCACGCGGTCACCCATTCAGCGCTGGCCTTAACCTGGATGACGGAGTACGGTGCACATTATCTACTGTGCCACGTTCTAGAGCTTTGTGCAGGGTTGAGTGTCGGCTCTTGGGCCCCAGTGTTTGAGCCTCGTAACACACTTCCCACGAGCTTCAGATGTATCTACTTCCGTAACTGTGTAATCTGAGGTTTGAAATTGAAATAAGTTTATTGAGGTAAAATACACACACACAGGGATGGGGTAGCTCAAGCTATTCTCACCTCGTTCAGTACGTGTTCATACATGTATAGACACACATCACAAACAATAAACATATTACCAAACATTGAGAGATAAACATATACATTTCCTAATCTGAGGTTTACCCTGACTTAATTTCCCCTAACCTCTCTCAGCAATGCAGGCGACGAGTCACAATAACGTGGCTAAAGTATGTTGACCAGATCACACACTAGAAAGTGAAGGGACGACGATGTTTCGGTCCGTCCTGGACCATTCTCAAGTCGGGCTTGAGAATGGTCCAGGACGGACCAAAACGTCGTCGTCCCTTGACCTTCTAGTGTGTGGTCTGGTCAACTCTCCCAGCAATCCTTAGGCCTACTACACGCTCTTAGCCCCAACATAGTACATATGTGCTACTACACAAGGGCGAGGAACATTACATATATAAAATAATATAACCAAAGTATTAGATAATCGCGTCATTTGACTCTCAATAAATGAACTTCTTGGCCTCCACACACACACACACACACACACACACACACACACACACACACACACCTGTTCATCTCAGCTAATTATAGGCCTACTCGGAAAAAGGTAGACAGGCGTATGGGTAGTTAGGATGGGGCAGAGGGTTGACGGAGGGGGGGGGGGGGGAAGCAGACGACTCTGCAGACCACGTAGTTCAACAGCAGCATTTTTGTTATAGATTAAGCTACTCGGAACAAGTTCCAAGTAGCACGGGCTATGGTGAGCCCATAGTGGACTTACCTGGCACAGGAGCGGTGCTCAACAGCTGCAGATGTGGGCTGCATGTATGGTATTGCGAGGCGGCCGGGGGGGGGAGGGGGGTGTGAGGGGGGAGCAGACCCCCACCCCCCCAGGAGTTGGACGCATTAAAGGTGATGTATTAACGTGTGTCTGGTCTCTGTCGACGGCCAGGACACGAAGTTACCCTTGTATGGATTTAAATTCAAGTGAATAATGGTCACTGTGCACCGTTAATAACCGTTAATTATAACGGTTATTAACGGTCACTCGGTGCACCCACTCGGGGATATAAACAGTACCTTGCAGTTCATAAAATACATGAGCCGGCGTGAGACTGGTTTATGTATTTAGCAATGTATGCCAATTTGAAATTTAAAATTAAGTGTCCAGTTAACTGTAAGACTAAGGAACGAAAGAAAACCGGTAATTAGTGTTTTTTAATTTAGGTGTCTCTCTTGTCGAAAGTAACGTTGTGTAGTGATGGACCACCAAATTTTTTTTTTAAATAATTTTTAGTGTCCGTGGAGGGGGGGGGGTGTAAAATAATATATATATATATATATATATATATGTCGTACCTAGTAGCCAGAACGTACTTCTCAGCCTACTATGCAAGGTCCGATTTGCCTAATAAGCCAAGTTTTCATGAATTAATTGTTTTTCGACTACCTAACCTACCTAACCTAACCTAACCTAACTTTTTCGGCTACCTAACCTAACCTAACATATTAAGATAGGTTAGGTTAGGTTAGGTAGGGTTGGTTAGGTTCGGTCATATATCTACGTTAATTTTAATTCCAATAAAAAAAAATTGACCTCATACGTAATGAAATGGGTAGCTTTATCATTTCATAAGAAAAAAAATAGAGAAAATATAATAATTCATGAAAACTTGGCTTATTAGGCAAATCTGCCCTTGCATAGTAGGCTGAGAAGTGAGTTCTGGCTACTAGGTACGACATATATATATATATATATATATATATATATAAAACCCATCTTAAAAATTCCTAGGCCTGGTATAGCATATGTATGTACTTTAGAGAAGTTTAAGGACAGGTTAGGTTCTATATTTATGCTGTCTTAAAACAAAAAGTTTCTTAATTTGACCAAATTCAATATGTCATTCTTCTGGAGGTCCATGAGTATATATTGGCACTTTCCTATAAATGGTTACTAAAATTGCTATCAATTCCAAAAGCTGTGGTTGTCTTCTATATCAACTATACTGCGCCTAAAGTGTTGAAATTATAATAGAAGCCTAAGCCACTCTAGTCTTCTGAGCGTATGAGGCTAGACGAATAGATTTTTTACAGGTTAGAAAGAGCAATAATATTTACACCAAATTTGAAAGGTTTTGAGGTTAGCGTTTTAAAATTGCTAACGAAGTGGGAGATGAGGAGGAAGGGGAAGTTGGCACAAAGTGATGGAAGGTATTAACGAATGGGGGGGATAGGAAGAGAGGAGACATCTCCCGTCACGCAGGGTGCAGTCGCACCTCCACAGATCTCCAGTATCAGCTCTTGATACTGGTAATGGCTCAAAAGGGCCACCACTTACGGGCTATTCATGCCCGTGCCACCTTTTGGGTGGCTTAATCGTCATCAATCATCGAGGAGATTGGCTCATCAGGACCAGTAAACCTGAGTTTCACTGAAACATTGGTAATGGCTGCGGGTAAGAATGTCAGTCGAGCAAGATTGCCGAGGCGGATACCTTGAGAAGTCTTTAACTGGGAGTGGTGAGGATTGGGTGTGGACAAGAGCGACGTCTGTACTCACCTGGTTGTGCTTGCAGGGGTTGTCAATCAACTGGTGTACAGGTTCCTGAGCCTATTGGGCTCTTATTTATTTTTTTTTTTAGATATATACGAGAGTTGTTACATTCTTGTAGAGCCACTAGTACGTGTAGCGTTTCGGGCAGGTCCCTGGAATACGATCCCCTGCCGCGAAGAATCGTTTTTTCATCCAAGTACACATTTTACTGTTGCGTTAAACAGAGGCTACAGTTAAGGAATTGCGCCCAGTAAATCCTCCCCGGCCAGGATACGAACCCATGACATAGCGCTCGCGGAACGCCAGGCGAGTGTCTTACCACTACACCACGGAGACTATTATCTCTTCAATTCTATCCCCAATACTCTGCAGATTCAACTCCATCCTCATTATCTCAATCATAGCATTTCTTGGGCATCCTAAGATAATCCTCATGGCTTCATTTTGTACCTTCTCCAACTTGCCCATCCTACCTTTACCAAAACAAGGAATGACAGGCGCAGCATAATCAATAAGAGATCTTACAGTACTCGAGTATATCATTCGTAGCACAGGGACTCCCACTCCCTTTCCACAGCATGCCAAGGCCTTCAGAGGTTGTAATCTCTTCCGGCATTGACCCAACAGTCTGTTCATCTCTGCTTCCAAACTCTCATGGGTATATCCAACATATATGCCTAAATATTTATATTTATTAACTTTATATTTTTACAGTTTATTTCAAGATAATGGGCCTCCGTGCCGAGGAGTTTTCTTTTGTTCACCCTGTCAATTCCCCTGAGAATTTTGTAGGTGGTTATCATGTCTCCCCTTACTCTTCTGTTTTCCAGGGACGTGAGGTTCAGCTTCAGCCTTTCCTCGTAGCTCATACCTCTCAGTTCCGGGAAAAGTCTGGTGGCATACCGCTGAATCTTCTCTAACTTTGTCTTGTGTTTAACTAGGTATGGACTCCAGGCTGGAGCTGCATGCTCCAGGATTGGTCTGGCATAAGTGGCATTCAGGATCCTGAACAATTCCTTGTACAAGTTTCTACAGGCAGTTCTTATGTTGGCCAGTCTGGCATATGCCGCTGATGATATCCTTTTGATGTGGGCCTCTGGGGACAGATTCGGTGTGATATCAACCCCCAGATCTTTCTATTCGTCTCTTGCAGGATTTCACCTCCCAGATGGTACCTTGTGTTCAGCCTCCTGCTCCCTTCGCCTAATTTCATTACACTTTTCTGAGTTGAACTCTAGCAGCCATTTTTCTAGACCATTCCTCCAGTTTGCCCAGGTTGTCCTGTAGTCTGTCTGTCTGTCTCTTCATCCGTCTTGATTCTTCTCATAATTTTTGCATCATCAGCAAACATTGAGAGGAACGAGTCTCCGGAAGATCGTTTACATTTATTAGAAACAGGATGGGTCCAAGACGGCACTGTAGGGGGGGGGGAGGGGGGAGTGTGGACAGGGAAGTGTAGACAGGAGCAACGTGGTGTGTGGGGACAGAGCGAGACGGGGGTGGTAGCAAGCAAGCAAGCACTTGAGCGCTTGTGAGAAGGGTCGACCTTGTCCTGTCCCACCAGTGTGTGCGTGTCTCAAACCTTCGCTCATTCCACTGTCTTCGTCCCCCTCCCCTACCTTACAACCGTCTCGCAGACGATCGCTCGCTGTACCCTGTCATGTGTAATAGTAAGAGTGAACCACTGCCACTCTCCTCCACCTGCTGGAGTAAGGCCTTCAATAGATAAAATATTGCACATTTACTGGTGTGCTGTGACTACGAGGGGGCGAGTGAGGTGTTAGGCTACAGTAATGCTCGCTAGGGAGGGGGTTGAGGGGAGAGAAAGAGAGGGGTAGGGGATGACCTTGCCACCCCCCCCCCCCCCTGCATTCCATTCTACCTCAACTCGCGATCTACGAGAGATTGATTGATTGCTTTGCATCAGTTTTGATCAATAAGTCTTGCAAGCCGGCGCGTGATGGTGTCTGGCAGACGTCAGAGTTGCAGTGTCGGCCGATAAGGTTTACTCACTATCATGGTTTGTGTGTGTGTGTGTGTGTAGGTGTGTGTACATACACTCCCCGCCGCCGCCACGGTCATGTGTACACACGTGGCCCCCCACTACCACTCCCCCCTACACACCCGTACACAACCGGCGCCAGAGCCCCATTGACTCAGTCATGTGCACACTGCCGCTAGAGACACACGCCCGGACGCTGTTGTGAAGGTAGCTTGGGGAAGCCTGTGTCTACGCGTGTGTGTACACCATCTGTGTGTGTGTCGGGGCTGTATAGTGTGTGTGTGTGGCCGTGTGCTCTCTCTCGTGCACCCTAAGTAGTGTGGACCTGGTGGAGTGTGTTAAGCTGAACTGGCATATAAACCTCGCTCACTCGATACCTTTAAGCCAGAATTTACCACCCTTGCTCGACTAGCGTTACTCTGCTAGCAACATACTGTGAATTATACACATCTGACATACTACAGTCGGTGGGGAATATATATATATATATATATACCCCGTCTAGGCTTGTAGAGGTGTTGGAGCAAGCACTATCGTGGCCAGGCGTCCCGGCCCCGCCCAACATGCTCTGAAGGCCCGCCTCTCTCAGACAGACATACGGCCGCAAATATTGAAGTGTTTCCGCCGCCCTGTTCGCCCCCACGGAGCCTCCGGCCCTCACCATGCAGCTCTACGAGATGAAGTGTGCAGGTAGCTACCATGATTTCATGTTTGGCAGTGCCGTAACAAACTGGTTTGGTTGCATGAACATTTTTTTTTCCCCATTGGTTGTGGAGATCTCTGGCAGAGTCACGCCCTCGACCCTCCATCACCGGGTGGGGATGGTGGGAGAGGGAGAGAGAAGCTAAAGAAATGAGACGATGAAAGTACTTTTCAAAGGCATTGAATTACCAAATGGTACTAGATAGCCATATTGAAACAAAAAAAATGATATTGAATGACCTCGTGGTGTGACTAGACATGAGGAGGAGGAGGAAGACGACTTGGTGACATCTGAGAGGTACAAGCTGCCATGTGGTATTAAATTAAGGACTGGGCCAGAAACCTCGGGTTTCAGAGGTGTTAACTCTCCTAGATAACACCTGGGGGGAGGTAACCCTCCTAGATAACACCCGGGGAGGTAACCCTCCTAGATAACACCTGGGGAGGTAACCCTCCTAGATAACACCCGGGGAGGTAACCCTCCTAGATAACACCCGGGGAGGTAACCCTCCTAGATAACACCCGGGGAGGTAACCCTCCTAGATAACACCCGGGGAGGTAACCCTCCTAGATAACACCCGGGGAGGTAACCCTCCTAGATAACACCCGGGGAGGTAACCCTCCTAGATAACACCTGGGGGGAGGTAACCCTCCTAGATAACACCTGGGGGGGGGGAGGTAACTCTCCTAGATAACCACTCCACTGTTTTATTGGTTTTTATTAATATTATCGTGTCGCATTTTAAATTAAATACATGCAATGATAACTTATCAATATTCGCCACATGAAACACACAATTATGGGTGAATTGTTGACTGTTCACAGTTGAACAGTGTTTATTATCATCGAGAAGTTGTTCAGTATCCACAACTTCATTCTTGTATATTGCAAAATCATATTTTAGCATAGATATGATGAGTTCAAGCGATGAGCCTCAAGTCCGGGTTTATTCTGGAATGAACATGCGTCAAAAACCCTCCTAGATAACTAGGAGATGTTTGCAGTCTCCGTGGTGTAGTGGTAAGACACTCGCCTGGCGTTCCGCGAGCGCTATGTCATGGGTTCGTATCCTGGCCGGGGAGGATTTACTGGGCGCAATTCCTTAACTGTAGCCTCTGTTTAACGCAACAGGAAAATGTGTACTTGGATGAAAAAACGATTCTTCGCGGCAGGGGATCGTATTCCAGGGACCATAGGATTAAGGACTTGCCCGAAACGCTACGCGTACTAGTGGCTGTACAAGAATGTAACAACTCTTGTATATATCTCAAAAAAAAAAAAAAAAAAAAAAAGATATATCGTCCCATTCGATTTTTCGGTTCAGTGTTCAGAGATATTACTGTGTAAAATACCCGTTCAACCAGGGCATTACTGATTGGTAAGCTGTGTATTTTCAATGGAAACTCAGCGAGGTCAATCAGTATGGGCTCTCTAGCAGGGTTCTTTGACGGGTATTATTGCTCAGATGACGATCCAAATGCTGGAATTGAAATAAGTTTGAGGTAAAATACACACAAAGGGATGAGGTAGCTTAAGCTATTCTCACCCCGTTCAGTACATAGTGTTAATACATACATATAAACACATCACAAACGTTACCAAACATTGAGAGATTAACATCTACATTGCCTGATGCTGGAATTTGTCCGTCCATAAATGTTGGATCAGTCAGTGGTTGACGGTAGATGTGACTGGTTTTCAGTGTCACTAAGCTTAGACTAATGCTAGAACCATTGGAAGTTCTGAAAATGGTGGCCGTGATTAGCCAAGGCTGCATGTGATATTGACTAGTTCTTCACCTTTTTTAACGTTTCAGAAGTAACAGGAATGCAATATATAGGAGGTTCGTTGCAAGCTCTCACTAAAAATTGATGGTATCTTGAACACTTTGAAGCTTATCCTTCGTCATAATTTTGTCTGTTAATGGCCAGAAGAGTAGACAGTTCGTAGCTAAAGTCCACTGTCACCAGGAGCTGATAATTGGAAATGAAGCCAAAATTAATATGAAGCTTTGATTCTTTGCACGATTTTTCACGACATTCAAAGTCAACGTGAATGCTACACTGATCTGTATCTTCTGTGGAAGCAGCTGTAACTTCCTGTCACGAAATATATATTTGAGGGTAATTCTTCAGATGCGTGACAACAAGGAACATGCTCATAAGAAACGATTGGGCTTTCTTCATCAAGGTGTAAAGTGAGGTCCATACACACACTTGATGCCCCATCCGTGTCGACTGCAAATCGCTGCTTCAAATGGACGCCAATATTGCCAATATAATCTTTTGAGGTGATGATACCAGGCTTCTGAGGTTAGTGCTCGTCACAAACTGTCTCACAATGAGATGAAATCGATTGATAAAGATGAAGCCACTCAAAAGGTGGCACGGGCATGAATAGCCCGTAAGATGAAATGGTATTGTCTGGCTGTATAATATCTAACACGCACATGTTCTCGAGTCTAATGATCTATAAGTGGTGTATTGGAGGTCCATCCCTACCACTCGGGCCCCGCTTCCATTCCTTTCCCTCCGTCCCATCCCAAATCATTATCCTGACCCCTTCCAAGTGATACATAGTCGCTTGGCTTGGCGCTTTCCCCCCGATCCCTTGCCTTGAATGTATCTTCGGTTTGGACTGCAGCATGGCCGAGTATCTGAGTAGACAGGTGAACCAGTATACTAGCTTGGGATGGACTAGACGAGGAGGTAAGAGTAACCTAAGCTTAGTGACGAACGATGGAGCAGGCGAGAGAGAGAGTAGGTGAAGACAGACGCACTAACACACATACGCTCATTCATAGCGCGCGCGCACTACACACTACGCACCCGCTAACCCCTCGCCCCCCCCCCCCCAATCCCCCCAAAACCACCACGTGCGGCCCCCCCTCTCCCCCCCATTTCCGCTACTCCCCCCTCACTCCCTCCCCTACACTTACCACTGTCCTCTGGTGTGTTGGTTCATTACGTAGACCTTGGACCCCCACTGGCCTGCGTCCGCTCCCCCCACACTTACACACTTGCCACTCTACACACCTGCAAGACCCTGCACTCTGGACCTTAAGATAGTCTCAAGGGTTTACGTCTTGGGGTACCCACGGACCCGGTCACCTCTTCCCTCCCTCTCGGGGCCATTTTTTTAACCCTTCCTCGGAGCCATCTCTCCCTCTCCCCTTACCAAAGGGTACCACCAACCACATTTATTGAGACAATCAAATACATGTCAAAGGGATAAGTACCTTAGGGTATTTCTACCCCTCATCATACTAGTTAGTCCCCTTACGGGGCTATTCATGCCCGTGCCACCTCTTGCGTGGCTTAATCTTTATTCAATCAATCTTAAAGTCCCTCGAGGGAAGCACAAGTCCAGTGTGTACAATCCACAAATCACAGTACAAGATTCTGGGATGCTCCCGGACGCAGGTTCGAATCCTCGTCACGGCCCTTGTGGATTTGTTTACAAGAATGACATTTTAATATTTATGAATTTTAAGATTGTTCATTCAAAACCAAACTTTTCTCATATAAATTAATATATATTAGTATACTGTGCACATTTAGGTACTGGTTAGGCGTTTAGGTTCTGTTGGCGATTATTTGTAGTACGTGGGTGAAGCATTTACAATGTAGTAGTTCGAACACAAGTCGTCAGTGAAGCACTTGTTCCGGAAGTGTTCGGACGTCATCAGTTAGTCGAGTCGTGTGTAAACCGCTTTTTTCATTAATAAATATGAGGGGTTTGGCGGGTGTATGGAATGGACTTTGGGGTCTTTGTTTGACGGACGGGCTGCTTATTCACGCTTATTCATTCTTGGGGCCGTTGTAGTATAAAACTACATGACTTCTGATTGTCACAGCTTCAAAGACTTTCAAAACCCATCACTTTCTCAAAGAAAACGGGGTAACTATTACATAATACAATTATTAAATATACAAGTTAACCATTTTCTTTCTGTTTTAAGCTGTGACAATCTTCAGTATAGTTACAACGGTCAAAGAATAAGCAAATTTTTTTTCTAGAGATCAGCTAATAATGGTATATATTACTATAAGAAAAAAAATGGTTTCGAAGTTTTTTCAATATATTAAGTTGTGTAGCCGGGCGGACATACTGTTTCCTCTTGAACTCTGGTAACTCCCCCCCCCCCCTCCCCCTTCCCAACCTGTCTATGTTCGAACAAATCCACAAGGGCCGTGACGAGGATTCGAACCTGCGTCCGAGAGCATTCCCAGACGCTGCCTTAATCGACTGAGCTACGACATGGTCAAAAGGAGTTCGTCCCTATGCCTATGTTCGTCTTGTTCCCCAGACCATTCCCCCTGCAAAGTTGAAGCTTCTATCCCCCTGCCGTCTAGACTTATTGTCCCTGTGGTGCTATAATTGAGAGGCGGGACCAGAGAGCCAAAGCTCAACCCCCCGGAAGTACAACTAGGTGAGTACACACACACATGCCATGGTCTTATAAGATGCCGATGATTCACTGCTTAACAATCCGGATGTCGCTGGCGGTAGTTATCTAGCGTAGCTGCATTTGTGGCAATTGGCATTGTTAACTGCGAGTCGTGTGGTAGTTAAGTGGGAGCCACTTATCGCCTGTTATCAATGGTAGTTTAGTCAGGCGGAGATTAGAGACCTAACGACCCGGGTAACGACCGCTCGCTGATAAGGTGATTAGTTACAGGTGTCTTTATAAGCATCATGATGATATCTTTGTGTGTTTGTATGATGTTGTTGCTATAGATTCAGCTACTCGGAACGGGTTCAAGTAGCACGGGCTATGGTGAGCCCGTAACTTACCTGGTTGATGGGGTTCTGGGAGTTCTTCTACTCCCCCAAGCCCGGCCCGAGGCCAGACTTGACTTGTGAGAGTTTGGTCCACCAGGCTGTTGCTTGGAGCGGCCCGCAGGCCCACATATACCTGGTTGATGGGGTTCTGGGAGTTCTTCTACTCCCCAAGCCCGGCCCGAGGCCAGACTTGACTTGTGAG